ATTTTAATTGACAAGATCAGTTTATATACACCTTAATTATAAATGTATATGGATTTATTTCAGCCATCTTATTGTGTGTTTTATATTTTTCCCACTTATTCCATTTCTTATTTTCTCTCTCATTGTCCTTAATTGTCTTCATTTGAACTTATAAACTATAGGTTTCTTACTCTTTTTTCTGTTACTGTAGTGATACTGCCTTGGAAACCCAAGGAGGGGTCACTATGAGTCAGGGCCGACTCGATGGCACATAACAACAACAACACTGTTTTGATATATATTTACTTTATTTCTATTCTTATTAGTTGCTTTAGAAATTTAGATGTACATATGTGCATAAAAATGCTAATATAAATCAGTACCTTCAAAGTTCAGTCAAAAAGTATTAAGAACTATATATTAAACCCATTGAACCTATGATATGATTTTCCTCTATTATTCTAAGAGACTAAGTATGGGGATAGGTAGAAAGGAAGTCAAACAATTGTACAGCTATAAAATATCATAATTAAGCATCAACTGATTGATAGACTTAAGGAATTACTTATCCAGTTATCTCAACTCTCTCTTATATGATAAGCCATTCTTATGCTAAATATTAACTTCATCTTGTTATTGTTTTCTTTTAACTACAGATATTAGACAATATGTTTTTTAATACCATCAGTGTTTAATTAGATTAGCCAGGTGTGTAACATGTCTTTGCTAACTGGACATTCTTTGTCTAATGGACCTCCTGATTCTGACCTTGACCCTCTTTTCAACAAAGCAGCCAGAGAAAGAACATTAAAATAAAATTTAGATCATGCCTCTCCTCTCTTAAGAATCCTTCATGACTTTTAGTAATAACCCCTAGACTAAAAGGCAAAATTCTGTACCCTCCCTTTTAACTCCCTAATCTCACTTCCTGCTTTTCTTCCCTTCATCACTCTGCTATGGCCACTGTACCCTCCCTACTGTTCCTAGCTCCTCCTTCAGGAAGTTGTACTTTCTTTTCTTATTGCCTAAAATAGTCTTCCCCATAATTGCTGCATACTCTTCCTTGCCTCTTTCTCAATGAGGTCTTCTCTGACCATTCTCTTTAAATTGCAAACTCTAACTCTCTCCACCCTTCCCTGCTTTATTTTTGTCCTCAGCTTTGTTTTGGTCCTCTTGTGCCACTCTAACAGAAATATCACAACTGCATGACTTTAACAGACAGGTATTTATTGTCTTACAGTTTAGAAGGCTAGAAGTTCAAGTTCAGTGTGCCAGCTCTAGTGTCTGAGTAAAAGCCACTCGACCTTCGTCATCAGCTCTGCCCCTTTCTTCCAGCCCACTGGAGCTGGAGATGTCTCAACTCAGGCAGCTGCTGACTGCTGAAGCTGACAAACCCAAGGTTGACAAGTAAAATGGCACAGTCCCAAGATTATCAAGCAACATGTCAGGCCACTAGTTCAAGTCCAGAAATAGTTACAAGAATGGCAAACAATATAGCAGACTGCTGAATTAAGATTCAGCTACATGCAGGGTCCAAGCGTGCCAAAAATTTCAGAGACCTTTCTCAAAGCTGCTTCTTATATGCTGGAAGCAGACCACATCCCTCCGGCAGCTACTCAGATGCTCATAGCAGATTCCACCATGGAGTTGATTACCAGTCTAATCATGGGGAATCATTACATCCAGCTGTCCAGCCACTCAAAACCAGGCCCAGCCATGTTGCCACATAACCTTACCTACCGCATTCTTATGATCATCAGTAGTGCTAGAACTGGCTCACACAGGCTCATCAGGTCACTTGTGCACATCTTTTCCCAGTTTTGCCTTCAGTGACATCATCAATAGCTTGAAATTGGACATGGCGGGATATTTACACCACGGAAATAAGCGAATGACACAAATCATGGAATTTTCCCCAAAAAGCCAGTTGTTAAATATTTAAACGCATACTACTAGACATACTATATATTTTATTTATTTATTTTGTTACGTGACTTTGGTTAATAAGATGTAAACTCCATGACAGCAAGGTGTTTTGTGTTATTTTTCTTTGTCTCTTTTGTTCCCTGAGGTATCCTTAGTACCTAGAAGTATGCTTGACTCAGTATGTATTTACTGAACAAATGAGTCTTATTCTTCCTGAAGTATATCCTTTGCAGGTTCCTCTGATGGGAGTCTGTTCATGCTCAAACTGCTCAGACAATGTAAATGTCTTTACTCTTACCCTTGAAAGATAGATTTGTCATGTACCATTGCTTATCATACTGGGAAGATTGGGGTTCCCTGGAAATCACTTGAACTATGGTGGTAGAAGAATATGTCAGAATTCAGCTAACTGGTCCTACTTGTTTTCTTATTGACAAAAGTTAGGAAATTTGGGGTTGTTCTAGCAAACTTATGTGAAGTGATTCTTTAAAAAAAAAGGTAGAACACTTATTTCTAAATTTTATATAATATGATCATAATATACATGTGTACCTTGTACTTTCCAAACCAAACTCACTGCCTTTGAGTCAGTTCCAACTCATAACAATCTCCAGTGGGTTTCCAA